TAGGATTCAACCGGAGCTGCAGGAATAACAACAAGCCAAACCAATTTCCCACAGGCCAACTGTGGGCTTTACCGCCGCTGCTCGCCGTCCCTCCGAGCTCTGCACCAGGAGATGAGTGCACAGAGGTGGCGGCTCGTGTTTATTAGGCCTCTCAGGCTGGAAATGATGAAGAAGAATGAACTTTTCTTTGTGTTTATTTAGTTGGAAACACCTCCAAGGGTGAATACATCCCGTTAAAGACGACAGAGCAGACACCATCCCTCCACAAAGTCGTATCTTACTGACGGCTGTGACACCAAACTCACACAAACTATTAATTTTCTACTTCGCGTCCTGCCTGGGAGTTAATGAATATTGATATGGAAGGGGTGCATATCTCCATATCCTTGACCTTGTCATTTATCTCAACGTGCAAAGGCAAAGCGGGGCCCAAATCAGTATTCTCATCGCAAGACATTTGATAAATACGCTCCCTAATTTAGAGGCAAGGCAGATGTTCTTGTTGCCGGCAAAAAAAAGAGCTGCGAAAATTGGGGCAAAGAAAAGAAGTGTATGTCAGCAGCAGCAAGGTGCACCGTGGAGAGCAGGAGGCAGCGCTGCGTGTCCCAGGAGGCGTGCAGAAAGGAAACGCCAGCCTGCAATAAACCAGCTGTTTCCCCCAGAAATGGCCGCCTGCTAGAATACCTGCTGTACTCCGATAAAACAGAATCTAAACAGGAATCAGCCCGAGTTACTCGCTGAGCTAAAATGTGATTCTGAACCGCAGGGGGGGCAGAGCGGTAAATGACAAAGTGCCCAGAAATGAATTTGGATGGCTGCTTGTACGAGAGTGGATGTAAAAAAAATATTGAAATAGTGCAGCGTGATGTGCAGCATCTGAAGCAACAAACCCGAGAAATGAAATCAGTCCTCAACATATCTGGCTGATGAAGACGGATCCTCTTTGCGGTGGGAGACACTCACTGTTCTGCTGAACAGACTGAACGCTGAGGCCCTCCATTTATCTTTTTCTTCAAGTCGTCTTTTTTTTTCCTCCCAAATCAGGGAGTTTATCTTGAAGGAAGCGGCTCTGACAGGGAGACTGTTTTCTACCAACAGACAGCATCAGCGACTGAACAGCAAAGGCCGGTTCAGATGCAAATCCAGCTTCTTTGACCTCCTCAGTGGTGTTTTATAAACGCTAGAAGACACATAATGATTGAACTCAAATGTCAGAAAGAAAAATATACAAATATTTTGGAATCTATAACTTTTTTTCCTCCTAATTTAAACAAGTGAATAAAATAGAAAATCACTTTGCAATCAAAAGTTGTGAAAGAACCAATTTTTTAAATACAAGTATTGTGATGTGGACATCATTTACATTTATTTTTGTTTTTTACCGTTAACACGTGATTTAATCTCTATCTGTGATTTTACCAGTTCACTCATTGATCAGTGTGCGGATGCAGAACGACGTTCTCCAGCTGAACTCAGACAAAACTGAACTCATCGTCTCTGGTCCACAGAAACACAGAGAACGTGTCATCAGTCACCTGGAGACTCCAAAACCTGAAAGTCAGGTTAGACATCCAGGGGCAGTAATGGACTCAGACCTGAACTCTAACAGTCTCATGAAGTCAAGAACATCAGCAGCTTTTTATCATCTAAAAGTCAGAGGTTCAGTCTCTAAGCCAGACTTAGACTAATGCATGCAGGTCAGACTGCTGTACCGGCTGCTCACTGGCCTCTCTGAACCAGCTGCAAGACGGCTGCAGTTGATCCAGAATGCTGCTGCTCGGGTTCTGACTAGAACCAGGAAGTACCGCCATATTAGTCCAGTGCTCGAGTCCCTGCATCGACTTCCTGTCGCTCAGAGAAGTGACTTTAAAACAGCTCTGCTTGTGTCCAAGTGTCTCCATGGTCCAGCACCAAAGAACATCTCTGACATGTTGGTGCCATCTGAACACTACCACGACTCCTACTACTAGAACTACTACTACCACCACTCCTACTACTACTACTACTACTACCACTCTGAGAGCCTCAGGGAGGGTCTCCTGCTGGTGCCCAGAGTCAGGACCAAACACGGTGAGGCTACTATGACTACAATCACTACTACCACTACTACTACAGATTCAGGACCAAACACGTTGAGGCTGTGTTCCAGTTTTCTGCAGCTAAAACCTGGACCTGGACTTCAGAAGATGTGAGACGGGCCTCAGCTCTGACAACGTTCACATCCAGGCTGGAAATGATTCTATATGAAAGTATTCAACCTGTACTCTTCTAATCAGTGACCATGTTTATGTTTTTATGGACTGATTTTGTCTGCCTCTTTGCTTTTAATGTAATTAATTAATAATCATGACTGGATGTTTTCTTTTTAGGCTTTCAGGCAGCTCTGACATGTTATCGAGTTCATACGATGACATCACATCCTGTTTACGTTCACCTGATGCCTGCCAGTCCAGCGTTTGCTCTCCTTTTAGCTCTGCTTTGGTCTCAACCAACTACTGAGAAACATTTTAGTGTTTCTTAATCAATAAATGCACTTTTTTTCTATCAGTTGTTGCAGAGCAGGAGAAGTTTGGATGCAGCAGGTCTCTGCACAGATCCAGTAGAGCGCTGCAGTCGACGCTTTGTGATTCTCCTCATCGCGCTGCAGCACAGTAATGTGTTGCTCGAGAGCGAGTCTATCTGTCGGCGTGAGGATTATCGTCTTCTGGCTCGCTGGATGTTTTTGCGAGCCCTCGGGGAGCGCAGATGCAAATCTCGGCTTTGTTTTCCAAAAGCACTGCTCGGCTCCAAAGGATATCTTTGTGTCTTTAAAGCCTTCGGAGTGAGATAAAGTTATAAATCAGGGAGACAGTTTGGGGAATTAGGCCTCTGCTGTGTCAGTCTGGTTTTAGTGTTCCTGTCATATCCGGCTCTGAAGCCACTCAAACGCATCCGAACACTTCAGCAGGAACGTAGGTGAGGAAGACGGAGGTTAGCTTCTGATTCAAACGCCTCCTTTCTCAACTCCACTGATTGATCTCTGCAGCAGATGAACCGTCTGTGGACGTTCTGATCTTTTACTGTTTCCAGCTGCTGATGAATCCTAAACTGACAGATAATAACTATCTGAGCGATAAACCGAGGCAGACCCTGCTGTAATGGATTTAGTGGGGATGTGTTCTGCTGTCTCCAAACTGTCTCGGGGCAGTTGTTCCAGAAGAAATTACCATTTTGCTGCAGTTTTATTAGTGATCATTCCCTATGGTTACGTGTTCTCATAAGTTTCTCTGAGAGACGGAGTGAGTGAGAGAGGAAACCACATTTCTGTTGACTGAGTGACAAAATTGGATTCTCACATTACTGTTGTGTTTATTCGACCTCGCAGAACTAAATAAAAGAACTGAAAAACGAGGGTTTACTTTGCATAATGATTTTAAAAGTTTCTTGAGTAGCTAGAAAATCCACATTGCAGTAAAAAGGCAGGAATAATAAAAAGAGCATCACCTGGACGTCTGACATGCAGCTCCGTGGACGGTGGCCGACCGGACTGGATCCTGTTCTGCTGCCCCTGTTCTGGACCAGGGACGTGTTCAGTTGTTTAAAATACATCTACGTGAACTTATTCTATGTAATGTTGCATAAATATGTTTAAAAAGGAACACTTCTGAAATGTATTATAAACAGGGAAAACTGTACAAATAAAATAAAATAATAAAAAAATTAATCCGTAAATATCCGCAAAATAGTGACATATTGTAGCATGTCGTTTATTTTTGTATTATTTGTTATTATTATATTAATTATTAAGACAAGATAATTCTTTATTGATAAATAATATTCAGTTAAAATAACTGCTAAAAACTGTTCATTTAATTTTATATATATATATATATATATATTTTTTTTTTTTACAGTGTACAGATCTACTACTGGTTATTCTACACTGTAAAAAAAAAATGTAAAGAAAAAAGAAGAAAAAAAAGAGTAAAAACTGTGACAATAATGATCGATAAAGAAGAACTGCGTCATATTATGGCCACACATAGCAAGAGAACAAACTACTGATTAAAATGTTTGATGTGGACATTTTGTACAGTTTGTTTTTTTAAGTAATCAGATCAACAACTTTGTGATTTTATGGGACACTAAATGTAATTTAATGTAAACTGAGAAAATCTAAATAAACATGAACAACATTTACCACTTTCTGAATCCTTCATAACATAATTTGTCTTTGAAATAACCGCAAATGCTGTAAAATAACACTTTTTTCTGATTTAAAAACTGTTAAAAAGGGAAAAAAAAGGAAATAAAAAGAAGAAAAATGTAATTTAATTTTTAGGTCAAAGGTCAAAAGAAACAAATGACTATTTATATTTTTTTAAACGATGTAGACATTATTTACATTTCCCACCATTTTTCCAGCCATTTTTATTTTATTTTATTATAATTAACATGTATTTCTAATTTAATTTAATTTTACTTCTTCTGAGGTTGCACTAGTTATTATCTGTAATTTAACAAAACAGGAAAAAGAAAATTGTTCCATAATTACAAACTGTTGAATAAACAATCATTTGAACAGCACCTATGAATGAGTCTATCTGCAGGATGACACAGTGAAGCTCTGGACCTGCTGCTGCCACCGAGCTGCTGCTGCAGACCAAAGTCACCGCTTTGTCTGCTGCTGCTGCTGCTGCGTTTAAAGGGAACTGGCCCTTTAACCGTGCGGCCGTACTGCTCATGCTCGGGGCTTTGTGCAGGAGTTTCCCCGTCAGAAAGCAGCTGTGCACCGAACAGCGCGAGCAGACAGCAGAAAGAAGCGGCGCTCCGGCTGGAGAGCTGCGGCTGTCGCATCCTCTGACAACGAGCCGGCCAGGGGGCGCGTCTTTGTCTGGGAACGCGTCCAACAGGAGCGCGGCGCACGGCCACACCGAGCTGCCTGCTTGTGTGTTTTTTTTTTATTCCATCTCGTGGATTACAGCTTGGAGGGAGCATCACCATCATCATCCGGTCACGGTCGTGTTTACATCCCCGACCACGGTGGAAGTTATCTGGAGGACTCGGTCTGGACGCGCCGCGGAGCGCAGAAACGGGCTTTTATTTTTTTCATGTTCCTGTCGCCGCGAACGGATGGGTCCCATTGGAAACGAGTTCGCAGCGTTTTCACCGTCCGAACAGTTTCCATCAAAGTTTCATGCCTTTGTCCTGTCCCGCAGCTCGGTCCACGCCGCTCGGCGGGTTCTGACGGTGCGTAATTACTGTTTTCCTGCGTCCTGGCCACAGGCGTCACAGGTAGCCTACCTGAGCCTGCAGACACCGCGGCGGATGACAGCGGATCAGTAGGAAGGTGACAGCTCGTCTGCTCGTTCAGCCGCAGAAAAACACTCTCCGCGTCCATCATGGATGAAAACGGGGCTTCGCATGTGTGCACCTGGAGCAGGGCGTCCGGGAGGAGCGTGCGGGACGTGCTGAGGACGTACCTGGGAATACTGGTGGTGCTTCACCTTGTGCTGAACACGGAAGCCTCGGCGGCGTCCAAATCCTGTGATAAAAGCTGTTTTTCCGGGAAGTGCATGAACGGAACGTGCGTGTGCGACCACGGCTGGGTGGGGGACCAGTGCCAGCACTGCCAGGGCAGGTTCAAGTAAGTTCTCTTTGGTTTTGGGGAGTTTAAATCTTACCTGTTGGGCTGTTGGGTCGAGCAGAGTCCAGAAATCCAAACAAAGGTTCGGAACCAGCCGCTCTGAGCTGCTCTGTGTCTCCACCTGATGTCTTCTGTTGGTGCTTTTCCTGCTTCTTTGGGTTTCATGTGTGGATAAAATATTCACCTGAGTGTCTTCAGCCTGGAGCCTGTAGAAGCCACCTGCTCTGCTGTCGGGAGGTATGAGGGGGAATTAATGTCACACACAAACAAAGATCAGTCCTGATGTCCTTTAGTCACTTCTGTTGTCTGATTTATTACATTTACTGCTCAGAACCTGACAAAGCTGAGGTTCAGGTGTCCGTCTGCGAGCCAGAAGAGCTGCACGGGTTCACCTGCTCCGTCTCACACGAGGTTAACACAGTTCTAAATATGAGGGCATGCAGTTTTAATGCCTGAACAGCAGCTCGGAGCGGATGGAGTCGAGTGCTTCTCTTCACTGCCGGGCTCATTTCTGCAGCTGCCATCCAGCAGGTGCTCTTTAAAACATGATTCACAAGCCGCATGACGGATATCTGTGTGTTCTGAGACAACATGCATTTGGCTGTAAAGCTGAGATACGTAAAGGTTTTGTTCGAGCTGCCGTCCAGACTTTGGTTTGGATCAGAGCTGCAAACGAAATAACGGTTGAAACGATATCTCGGCTTGTTTACGGTGGAAAAAAGCAGAGAAGTGAGTGGAGTTAGTGCAACACCAGGTTCTCCTCCAGAGGACACGAGGCGTCGCTCTGCTGTCCAGGATCGTGGTGCGGTTCTGTCGGGTCACACACGGCTGCAATTGGTGACTGTTTTGAACAATCTCTCGGTTATTGAAGCGAATCGTCGACTGTGACTCGTCTTTAGCTGTTAGCTTCAGGTTGCTTCAGGTTCTTGCTAACTAACTGTAACAACAGTGAACATGCTGCTTGTGTACTTCTGTAGTATTTGCATGTGTGTGTTTCTGTGAAGTGCAGCTAAACACTGCCGGTTCTGATGCCCAGCTTCATTATATTCTGTTGAACCGTTGTTGTGCGTAGCAGCTGGTACTGGAGCGTACATGCAGGATGCGTTCATGTCTCATGGCGTTACTGGGTTTCTAACCATCACACCTGTTTCCAGCTCCACCGCCGTGCTGTAGCTGTGTTTTCATGGACTTGTTCTGCCGTGTTTTGGGTCAACCTATACCTGGAAGGATGTGGAGATTGCAAAACATTGGTGGTGGTTCTGGTTAGATGTAGAGTTTATCTGAGCTGGTCCATGCTTTCATATCATCAGGTGGCGACTCGTCTGACTGGCCGGATGTCGACTGCTTTGTCTTCTCCGTCTCACTGTTTGCTCCATGAAACAACATCAGTCTTTAAGCTACCAGCAAACCAGACTGAAAATGTAAAGCTTTGCAGAGGATTTGGATCCAGCATTGAAGCAGCCAAACTGTTTTTCTTTTTTTGGTGGATTATTTGTTTTAATGAGTCTCCCTAAATGCAGAATTTCTAAATGTAAAGAAAGACGAACAAAGCGCGACACGTTTTATTTCCTCTGCAGCAGAATGATGATGATGAGGTGCAGCCAGACTTTAGATGTGACGGTCTTCACTTCAACAAGCAGCGATGAATTAATCCGTGACAGCGTGATGATGTCACCACCTGGACGACAATGACAGTTATTGGCAATTAATTTTATTGTTGTTTTCTTAACAGCGTAGATTGTTCGATAATTCCTTCAAACAGGACACGATACTGGCTACGCCCTGGAACACGCTGCGCCTGATTGGATGAGCGATTTGACTGGATCAGCACCAACATCACGGCTCATTTGGGGAAAATCAGTTCACCCGAAGTGTGTTCCTAAAAACATCTGAGCGGAGAATTCAGTCATACAGCTGCTAAATCTGTTTTCATTTTACATCCAACTGTGGTCGCTTGACATTTTTTCGGGGAGTTTCCAGGCGTGCTGAGTGACACTGGATACCCCCGATTTGCATAAAGGAGCCTCGACCTTAACTTTATGCGATGCAGCACGAACACATTGCTGCTTACACACACAGTAAATGGGAAGCGGGGATTATTTAACATTGTCTTGCTGCTGTAGAGGTGTTTCATGTTGAACTTCTCATTTTGCTGCATTAGATATTGGAGAAGGTCGTTCAGTAGATATCTCTAATGATCAGATCCCGTCTTCTCCTGCTGGCTCCGTGGCATTGTTCACCCCTCATACCCTCCTGAGGGAATGAGGTTACCTTGTCTCAGTCACCTGCAGCCTGTTCGCCACAAATATGGACGAAGAAATGGCAGGACTTGAGTCCGGTCTTTTCTCTCTGGAGGATTATATTGATTTCTCAGTCGATGTGATTGTTGTGAGAGCAGCGGTGGACGGCAGACAACAGCTGTAACACACAGTCCTGCACAATGGTGTCTGTTCGTATCGAGCAGCTCTGACGTGCACACGCTGAGGGATGATGGGACGGTCGTCTGAAGAAGGTGGAGCAGCCGGCCGGTTAAATAGACGGCCTGATGTGGTGAAAGCTGACAATCTATACGCTTAAAAATAAATTAAAAAAGAAATCTTTGCAGGAAAACACACTTTGTGACACAGTGTGTGATTAAAAACATGAGAACATGGACGGAAATAGAGAAAAGTCTCTGTACATCTGGAATAATGAGGAAAAAACATGTTTGAGATCTGTTTGAGTCATTTATGTATTTTACAAAAACACACCTTAAATGAAGTCGAGCTGATCTGCAGCCTGATGATCACACTGATTCCTGTGGACAGAACATCTCCACCGTGTCAAGCTGAAATGAAATCTGATGCATCGATATGGGTGAAACAATCGCTTTTTATGTTTGCTTTGCAGAGTGTTTGTGTGTTCATAATTAAACCTCAGTATTACTGACAGTGTGACCGTATCAATGTGCTGCATTTATAACACTTACATGGCCACTTATTCATGTTGTGGAAGGACCAGGTAGAGAGCATGTGTTTGGACTGTTAGCATCTCTTGTTGGAAAGTCATCAGCCGACTACAAAGAACCTGACGAACGACCACAAAGAGACTCCAAATGACTACAAGAGACACAAAGAAAGACAAAATGACCACAACGAGATAAGAGGTGGCAACAAAAAGGTCCAAAAACCATCAGAGAGACTGAACATGACATGAGAAGATGCCTTCTCCAACCAGGAACTCTGCACTTTCTCTGTTCCCACTGCAGTGTTGGATTCTCCAGAACAGACAGGGTAAACATTTAGTGACAGCTCTGACCAAGACGTCACTCCTCGATGCTCCAGAACAACAACAACAGCAGCTCAGGGGACTGAAGTGGTTTCTGCATTGTTCTTTTTTTGCACCAAAGTCTTGTAAACATGTCGAGCACTATCTGCGATGAGCACTGACTCTCTGAACCTTCATAAAACAAGAAGAGGTCACAGGGAGACAGTCTGGTTGGTTGGTAGGGTGTCAGGGAGTGAGAGCTGTGTGTGATCACCGCAGCTCATGTTGTTTGTGGTGAACGTTTTCCCACTTGGGGCCGATACAGTAAAAATCTGCCTCGACGCTTCGGTCCTGGGGGTTGAGTTCACGGCGCACAACCACGTGAATGTTGAAGAAAACAACAAGAATGTGTGTTTGACAGTCCTGACGTGATGCACCGGGTTTAGTTTTGGAAACCACGGCTCGTCCGTCATGAATTCTGCTGTTTCTGCTGTTGATGGTAGCCACAGGTCCACCTCTGGTCACCAGTGATGATCCTCCACATGACGGTCGGATCATCTGCTCCAGTTTGAGCTTCATGGAGGAATCACACACCGGTGTTTCTACACTCGTCCTGCTGTTGGCAGCTCGGCGTCCCGACATGTTGCTGAACTTTCTGATGAATCTTTGCATGTGGCAACAACTGTTTGTTTTTCTTGGAGTTAACCGTTCAGCATCGAGCCCGCTGAGCGTGTTTTCAAGGACCCGGGCCAGAGTAGGAACCTCTCTCTGCCCTGAGAGAAGCTCCACGGGGGCCGGTTCTGCAGTTGGACCGTGCACAGAGCTGCAGGCTGCACAGAGTCAACCACAACCAAACATAAAATGACCACCATGAGAAACAACGATGGAAAACAACCACAGCGCTCTGGTGCTCCTACACGTGTGCTGACCACCCATCGGCTCGCAATCTGTCCGCGACACGACCGTCTTGAGTGGGCGTCGAGACCACTTGACATGTGAAAGCAGAGTTCCTCTCTTTACCATCCACCTCACACTGTAGGGAGCGTTCTGTGTGCTGCACGCCGTCCTGTCCACAGTCTGAAGACTCTGTTGATGTGTTCATGTTTAGGTCTAGACGCTTCGCTCAACATATGACAATCTGGCATTAAAGCGACTTTGGGCTGAAAGATGAAAATGTGCCTTTGTATTAAGCTCGGCATAAAATAAATCGCGCTGTAATCCATGTGGTTGTTTTTTTGTGGGGGATTGCGAACAAGCCGAATCTCCGTGTCAACAAGCGGTATTACCAAAACACTGCTGTCCAAATAGTCGTGTTATCGGACCGATCCGCTGTTCTGGTGGCTCCATCAGCTGTGTCCATAGTGAGCAGCAGAGCAGAGGAGGACCCCATCAGCTTCAGTATCGCCGCCGTGGTCTGAGCACGCTCAGTACCGAAGCTTCAGCGGCGGCTGGACGATCAGGACGCACACAAACGCTGCACATACACAACGGGCCGGGCCTCATATCCACACAGACAGATCCAATAAAGGAGAAATAGGGAGCAGACTCTGTTTGTCTATTGATTTAAGGTATTGGTGCTCTGCTTAGTTTTATTGGTCCGCAGCCTCACAGCTTGCTCTCCGCTGGTGTTTTCTCTCTCCTGCTCGCCGTCTCTCTTTCTGCTCAAACCACAAACACGTTTGAAACCGAATCGTTCTTTCATTGCGTCCTGAACGTTGCCTTTCTTTCCTTCTCTTGAGTCCTGCCTTTAGTGA